CGTCTCTGGCTTCCGCCTTCTGGGGCCTCAGCACTTGCTGGGCTGGAGCCTGCAGCAGGCATCCTCCCTCCTCGACAGTCAGCCCTGAATGAGCTGGGCTGTTCCCTTTTATACCTGGTCTCCAGCTGTAGCATGCCCAGCAGGGCCAAGGGTGCATGGCCTCCTTGGCCCAAAGAGTAGAGTTCACCCTTGCAGTACCAGCACAGGGCAATCACGCCCCATCACAGGGCCTCAGAAAGAAAAAGATTGAGAACCCCAGGCCTATGCGATCACTGGCCAGCATTGTACACTGCAGCCCTGTCCCCTCTTGTGTCTGGTCGGGCTCCCTCCTCCCCACCCCAGACATAGTCTCTGCACCAAGGGTGGGAGTCACAGCTCGTGTAGGTCTGAGTCAAATGGGTGGATGTGCTGCCTTTGAAGCAATCAAGGATTCCCCTCTTTGGGGAGCAGAGGCAGCTGTAAGTGCCCTTTACATCACTGGAGCAGTGCACATGGCTGACTCAGGGCCCAGGATCACAGGCAGCCAGCCTGCTGCAGTCACTATTACCCTGTCTCATTTTCTGTCACAGCACAGGGGCACCTACAGGATAAAGATCTATGAGAAGGAGGATCACAGAGGCAACATGGTAGAGTTAACCGAGGACTCTCCACAAGTCATGGACCAGCTACGCTCCCCCGAGATGCTCTCTTGTTCTGTGCTGGATGGGCACTGGATCCTTTACGAATTGCCGAATTACAGAGGCCGCCAATACCTGCTGAGGCCAGGGCAGTACCGGAGATTTAGCGAGTGGGGCTCTATGAGTGGCAAGGTCGGCTCTTTGAGACGTGCCACTGATCTCTACTGAATCAAGACACCTTTTGTCTGGAAGGGTCTCAATGAATAAAATGCTTTAACCACCATTGTGCTCTCAGCGTGCTGTTATAAGTGTACTAAGGGGAACGTCGAGGCTTGTCCTGTGTTCTTGGGCTACGGTATCATCTTCTGAACCAAAAGTTGTCCCTCATCTTTCCCTGCCCTCCAGCAGGGTATGTATAGGGGTATAAGACTCCCTCCCAATCACTTCCTTGGCTGTGCAGGCATTACCCAAATACAGTGCAGGGCACGTAGTAAGAA